CATCAAGCGGTCGCTGTGATTAAAGCGAGTGTTGTTCTCTCTTAAGATCCTGGATTCGAACGTCTACAGGTTATGTGTATGTTGTCAATGGTTAAGAAATATTCTGAACATATATAATCTTATAATCATCAAAATTATTTAAAAAAGATAAAAAAAAATCGTCTACGCCATAAATAAAAGTTCTCTCTAAGGTTAAGTCATGATAACATAAAAAAAAATTATTTCTAAAGTTATAAGATGACATCTTTAGAGTAACCATTGATGATAATTGATGGGAACATGGATGAGTTCCACATATATTTATTGATTATTTGCTTATTAGGATTATAACATTTGTCTTCTCTTGATCAAGAGAGCATTATAAAATAAGCGACGAATGTTAACCCCTTATACTCAATCCAGAATTATAACAAATTCTTGCATTGATCATTAAGATGACCCAAATGATTATATAAAAATTTAGATCACGTATAATCAAATTTAATCAATTTAATTATTAATCAAGTTCATACTTTTTTTCATTAATAATCAAGTTCATATTTATTCTTGTTAAAAGCACATTTTCAGAAATAGTTGAACATGATGACGATGTCCAAAAATAATTTATTTATAACTCCTATATCACAATAAAAAAAATATTAATCAGATTGTAAACATAGAAACAATTGCATAAAAATTACAATTCAAATCTTTTATCACCAAAAGCATTGGGAATTTGCCTTCCACTCCCTAGTTTAGCTTTAGAGCACATACAAACAATACTAAGCTACTCAATGAATCGAACCAGCTCAATGATTTTATATCCGATTGTGATGATAATATACTGATACTAGTTCTGCAAGTATTGCTGCATGTCATATTGTGTGTCTACATTGGGTTTGGGCTGTACAAGAGAAAGATTATGGCAATTTATCGCATCAGGTCATTGCTCCAAGTGTTTATTATTCGGGTGGACTCATACATTTATTTGAGCTGTGTACTATTTTATCACTATTTTGTGTACTTTATAATATTGAGATATAGTAAGTAAATTTTAAATTTTTAGAATAATTAATATTTTAAATGTATTTTAAGACACAAAAATTGAATTTTAAATTATTTTAATGATCAATGTGATCTTCCAGATTTGACCGTAACTTTTGGGGGTATAAGGGTTTACAATAAAACTGCACTAATTTTACATACACGCATAATTCATTATTTAATTAATATTTTCATAATCTAATTGTTATATTTAATGTTCTGTTCACTTTGATTATGTATATCAAATTTTGTGTAAATTAAAAATGTGCAACAATTTTGTTTGATATAAAAACTTTCAATCATGTATGACAAGTTTTAGTTGTTAAGATATTAATCAGACAAAGAGTTATATGACACTTCTAACGATTTGTTTGTTTCACAGAAAATAAATTCCATAAAATTAATTACATTTCCTGGAAAATAGATTCTAAAAATTATTTTACGGTGTTTGGATGGTACATGAAAACCATTTTCCACTGATTGATAAATGTTTTAAAAATTATTTATTATAAATATCAAGTATAATACATAATATTATTTATTAGAAAGTAATTAAGATAATTAATTTTAAATATTAAAATAACTTATTTAATATTATTTGTCAATATTATATTCTAAAATTTATTAATAAATATATTTTATATATTTTCGTAATTTAACAATATTATTTTATGAAATTAATAAATAAAAATAATTTTATTAATGACTAATTATATATTATTAAAATAAAAATATATAATATCATATATTATTATAATATAATTTAATATATTGTTATAATAGTAAAACATATAATATTATATTATTAAAATTATTAATAATATATTTTAATAATTAATATTGTTATTAAAATGATACAAAAATAGTATATTAATATTAAATATATAAAATAATATTATTTTAAGTATTTAAGCTTTCAAAATGAAAATTTCAGAAAACAACATACGGAAAATTAATTCGTAAGTCATTTTCTAGAATACACAAAGGAAATTTTGTTGACCAAAAAAATGAATTACGTTAACCATCTATTTTTCACTAAACAAATACTAGAACATGAAGAAAAAAAAGTTTTCTGAAAAATCAATTACAAGGAAACAAATAAACCCTAAAACTATACTAATTTTACTCTAATGTAAGTGGGTTTTGAGGGTAAAGTTAGGAAACTTTTCATGAGGATAAAGTTAAATATACATTCTTGAACAGTCAAAATGTAGCATCATAATTGTTTTAGCTGAAAATTATATATATATATGAAGATTAAATTGAAATCTACCGATTTTGGTGGGCCAAAAGGTAATTTTATCATTTCTTTAGCTTTAAAATAGAAAGGACTAAAAATAATTTTTACTATTTAGGAGTCATGGCCCCTGATATCCATTTGCCTTTTATTGACATTTTAATAATCTAAACTTTGAATTTAACAATATAATTATATTTGTCATATGTCAATTTCATATATATATATATATATATATATATATATATATATATATATATATATATATTAAATTGACATATTATACGTGATATAAATAGCTGAATATTTTTTATTTACTCAAAACTTTAATATGCATGATTTACAAGAAATAATATAAAATTTAACGGTTTATTGTTTAAATAATAATCATAAAAATATTATAAAAATCATTTAATTTTATACTTGTTTGAGTGGATCCTGTCCCAGCATAGGATACTCCTATCTTACCCTAAATATACTACCTTATTCCACGCATAATGTTTCATGTGACAAAGTCAAATAATTAATTAAGGCAAAAAAGAGAAGATATTTCAAGTAATGGGATTCCATCTATCTATTTAAGATGATGCATAAATTTTTCAAAAGAAAAAAAAAATTGGTGTAAAAAGTACCTAGTTGATACCAAATTAATTAAAGCAAGCACTATTAATTCATAAAAAGAAAATACATGATCATATTCATACCTAATTATCTATCTTGAAATTTGAATATCTTTTAATTATTTATTTATTTTAATGATTATACTTACCTTAAAATTTTATTTGTGTTTATTTCATACAAAATTTCATGTTGTTAATATATATGTGTTCACCCTAAAAAAATATTTCTGAATCCACTGACTGCACCAAAATCTTTATTTTCGTAGCTTTCAAAAGTTGGTACAAAAGTACAGTAAAGGAGGGAGTTGTGACTTCCATGTCCATGCAAAAGGACACAAGAAGATGATGGATAGAGAGAAGCATAAACTGATGAAGCAAATAAAGGGTTACAAGCAGGAATTAATGGAAGAAGAGGGGCCAAATGCAGATAAGGGAGACAAGAATGGGTTTGACTTGTCATATCACTTGAGTGCCCTCTCTTTCCACACATTTATGGATGGCCTCCTTGCTTCATGCTTCCTGTCTCATGCTATTGGATGCTTAAGGCATCTTCATTTGCTAATACGTTTTCTTTGATACTAGACGCTTAGGGCACTCATTTGAACATATTAGTTTTTAAAAGCCATATTGTAAAAAATATATCTTTCAATTAGATAGTCATTTTAACTCAAACATTTTATTTTAAGATAAAAAGATTTATTTGTGGATGAGAATTATTTATCAAATTAATATGTATCTATTCAAAACTTTTCTTAATATATTAACAGCGTATAAACCATATCAATGCAACATTTTTTTACTACTAAAATTAATTTTGTACAAAGGTATCGTATATTTTTTTTATATCTTGGTTCAATTAATCTAGTTAGACTTGGTCAAGACTTGAATAGTATGAAGTTTGTTTTTATTCCTTTTGAGAGTTTATTTTACTATGAGTACAAATATCTTGTTATGAGTGGATATCAATTTCAATAAAAAAGCTTGATTCTGTTGAAGCATATTGCATGATTCTATCTTTTCAAACATATAGATTAGAATTGATTTATTATTCTATTCTATTATAATTAATTTACCTTTTTTGTTATCATGCTTATATTATTCTAAATTGTATATTTTATCGTATTATATGACAACATTCTCTCTATCTCTCTATCTACATATATTTGATTAGCCTGCAGTAAATATAAAGTGATATATGTTTGAAAGATTTTAGTCATTTGACAATAAACACTTATATACATCCTTTAAATATTGAAATTACTTAGTTCGTACGACATACATTTTAAATAATTACAAAAGCACTTGTATTCAAATCTAAATGATATAATAAGTGATTATAGAAATGTATGCATACAATCAATGACTAACGAAATACTGATATTCTTGGCAACCAAAAAAAATACTGATATCCTTACGGTTGTACTTAATTTCATGTAAACGGCTTATGCTACAGGGCTGGGATTCTGGTCAGTAATTATAGAAGCCAAATTCATCATTGAAAACCTAAACCCATTTTCATACAATTTGAATTCGTTCAAGGTTTGTTTTATAAATCATTAATGTAGTGACAATATTTGGTAATTTGATACCCAAATATGTATAGAGTCTAAAATTGATACTTCAATCATTACTCTCGCGGTAATTTAAGTTTGTTTTGTAAAACTAATATTTATTTATTAAATTTTATTATCAATATTCATATAAGAGCAGCATATAGCAACAACATTGATACTACAAATTTTAATGTTCATTGTATTCTCTGTTTTTTTATTTTACCACTAAACAAAAAGTTTATATTATTTTAACATTAAACTTTAGTTTAAGCTTCAATCATATCATTGGGTATTGTGTTGTTAATTCGATAACAGCGTAACAATAGACAGTGATTGCCGACGTAGAAATCTTTTTGCAGTTTTAACACAAATAATATATGTTTAAACTACCCCAAAACAATGTTTTGTTTCAACATCCATATCATCATCACACATCATTGCATTAATGGCTGAACGATATAATGGAAACGTAAACTCTAGTTTTTCTCTGGTAAAGTGATCCAGTCTAATACAATACATTGATAAAACCAAGCGAATATCTACACAAACAAGCAAAGGCACTTATCTTTCATGCAATTACTACGCCTAAACAATATAAAATACATCTTTTCCCCCCATAATAAAAGATGATACACAAACACCTCTTTTTGTGGCCGCTATAGTTTGTAAATTCCACTGCCAACAAATGAAGTATAAAACAATCAAATTCAAGGAGCATACCGAAGGAGGAATTACGATCAAGCTAATTTCGATATCAACATCACACCACCACCAGTTTTACTCCTTTATGACTACCCCCTACATCTCACCATGGTACCAGCCAAGATCCGTCAATTACCATATACCCGTCAGCCAGCAATACACTAGAAAACCATATTCGTTTTTCTTTTCCGGCCTTCCGGTTGCAAGGAAGTGAGGTCAAGGAAGACACGACAAGTACGGAAACAAGAGTAAATAGATCAAGGATGCTAATCGATTGAAGATCTAACTAAAAGATCTAGGAAAGAAGTGAGGTCAAGAACAAGAAAGCTAAAGTGCTATCAGAAGATAAGCCATAAGTAGCCACATGGTGGAAGGATTGAAGATGAGTTGAAAGAAAAAGGACAGAGAAAGACAAGCTGTGCCATGAAATAAAATACAGCACGTGTCGTCAACTGAGAAAGAACACAGGGCTTATCTTCATTTTGTATTACTAATTTAGCTTACTGATCTTGTTCACGTTTCATGTCATTGTCGCTGATAATCTTCCCACATAAAGCATCGTTCTGCACCTTGAGTACTTTATTTTCGATTCTTAATTTTGCATTATCCTCTGCCAGCTGTGGTAAGTTACTATTAAGATCGGCATTTTTCCTCAAAGATGCATTTTCATCTTTCAACTTCTCGTTTTCAAGCCTCATTGGATCAGCCTACAATAAAAATTTTAACAAATGTTAAGAGAACCCATCAAGTAGTTTCAGTTGTTAAAGAAAAGGCTATTCTTCTTAAAGGTTTTGAGTTCGAGTAGCTGTGTTTGCAAGGTGTTTATGCATTGTCAATGATTAAGAAAAATTCTGAACAAATACTATCTTGTAATCACCTAAAATATTAAAAATATATATATATATGTTAAAAAACTCATGCCATCATAAATCATAATTAATTATAACGTTTCTGCAGATGAGCCCTTTTTATGCTTTTAAAATGAGTTTAACATTCATTTGAACAAAAACCTACAGGCAAAAGTGACGCTAGAAATGTAAGAAAATTGTTGAGGGCACAAATGCAAATAAACTTTCAAATATAAAACTTTGGATATGGCTTCCACGCTGACGAAGTTGTTTTAATAAAACATTAGACACGACCTCCACATCAAGAAAAGTCATGAAGCCATTGTTAAGAATGACTTTTATATTGAAAATATGTGGAGTTAAGCTTAAAAGGTTTGGCAGAATTCTAGTTTGATCCCCTTTTGGGACGTCTTGGAGCATGACTTGGAGACTCAAAATAAGAATATTGTTAATAAGTTTGTTTTTAACCTTTTCTTGGAGTGCAAGTGTTTTTCCCCTTCTAGTTGAAGAGAAAACGTACTTGTATCTAGACATACAACTGTGATACCCAACAAAGACTGCAATAGAACTCACTATTATCGTAATCACAATAAAAGTAACGCAATTGAAAATGCATCTCAACCGCAATTTAAATTTTTGTTTGTGACATGTTCTTTCACGTGTCTTTTATCCCATTACCCACATTTTCTTAACCGTCCATTCAATAGTTTTTCTTTGAGAGGGCTATAAATATAGGTTAGATTGTTTCATTTGTGAAGCTTTGATCTTTTGGTAAACTTATAATCTAAAGTTTTCTCTGCAAAATCCTGTCTATAATCACTCTAACCACTACAACTTCCACCGTATATTCATCTACTTAAGCCATCCAAGTGTAGAAAATATAATTTACTGGAAAAAATATTGGGAATTTACATGAATTCACGTTACTATAATCAGATAGATACAATGGAGTTTTATACAAGTGATGATCTAGAGTCCTAGCTAACCCAAGTTCTAGCTAAGTTAAAATTATCTTTATCTAGGGTAAAAAATTTATTTAACCGTAATATAACGCACTCTCACTCAAACTGGATTATTGAGGGACACATTCTTGACATCTAGTTGATGAAGAACCTAATCCTTATTTATTGCTAAGGAAAGTAATACTCTCAAAATGTTGAGTTTTGCAACCGGAGCAAAAATCTCTTGATAGTTTACTCCATAATTCTGAGTGAACCCCTTTGCCACAAGTCTAGTCTTATATTGTTCAACACTGTCATCCGCCTTGTATTTCACGGTAAAGATCATTTGCAATCAATTGGTTTGAAGATTGACAATAATTCAGGTTTTGTTACTTTCAAGCGCTGAAAGTTCTTCTACCGTCTTCTTCCACTCGGGACTTTTTAACGCTTCTACTATGTCTGGAATGCAAATGTTGTTTACTTTAATTGTAAAATTCTTAAAGTCAAGTATTAGTTTACCATAAGCAACAAACTTATTAATGGGATGAGCTGTACACCGTCGTACTCCCTTCTTTTGAGGAATCAATAACTCACTAGTATCAACCAATACATCCACGTTACTCTGATCACCTTCTTCACTTTCCAAGGAATTCAAACTTGGTTTATGTTCTTGACAATGCATAGGCGATGTAGGGACTGTTGGGACGTGTTTTGACAATCGTTTGTAAGGTCACTCTGGGAAATAAATGATGACACAGATGGGCTTGGTGTTCGAGGAGAATTCAATGGGTTCATGGTTTGGTTTAGGTCTATTTGACCTTCATTGGTGTCAAGTGGTGGTGGAGTTTTTTGTAGTTTCAAAAGGTTTATATTCAAGGAAAGTAATATCCATTGAAGAAAAAACTTTCTTAGTAGGAGAGTAACACCTATAACCCATTTGAAAAGAAGAGTACCCCACGAAGACACATTGGATTGCCTTTGGATCAAGCTTAAACCTAGACTTGGCATGATCATTGACAAAAGCAGTACAAACAAAGACACGAAGAGGAAAACAGTAGTCAATGGTTTAAAATGAGAAAAAATTGAGTAAGAACATCTTGTGGACACCGAAATCATAGAACTTTACTAGGCATGCGATTAATGAGATAAGTACCAGTTAAGACTTGAGAGAGCCTCACCCCAAAGATACTTCTAAACGTTAGTATAAAAAAGAAGTGACTTGGTAACCTCAAGAAGATGTCAGTTTTTTGGCTCAACGATCCCATTTTGTTGAGGTGTATTGACATAGGAAGCGAGATGGACAATTCCTTTTTTCTAAAAGAAAGACTCCAACAAGTGAAAAATATTCACTACCATTATCAGACTTCAAAATCCCAACAGAAATTTGAAATTGGTACTTGATGATCGCTTAAAAATGTCACCAGCCTCTGATTTATCGCGCATGGGAAAAGTCTCTGTCTTACGAAAATGATCATCAATAAAAGAAACAAACCAACGAACTCTATTTAGGCTTTTGACACAAGATGGACCCCAAATGTCATTGTGTACAATCACAAAAGTTTTAAAAGAGCGATGGGGGAAAGATGATATGAACTGTGAATTTGTTTGGCAAGATTTTATTAATGAAGAGTTTAGGAAACAACTTTGAAAGATAGAAAAAACTAGGAAGACCTAACTTAAAATGCCATAAAATAATCTCAGCATAAACATCATTAGGTGATGGAAATTCGAAACAAGACACAATACTAGGGTTTGCTTGAGTATGAACTGGAGGAGGGGCTTCAAGAATGTAAAGTCCACCATGAGGCCTAACACTACCAATCACCATCCCGAGCTCGAATCATAAAATTCACAAATATCAAAATTAAAACTAGTGCAACACAAGTCCGTAGACAATTTACTAATCGAAAGAAGATTGCAAGTCAAATTTGGAACATAAAAAACAAAGGATAAAACAATGTGTGGATTGATGCGAATAGAGCCATTACCAACAATAGCCGAAAGCGAACCATCAACAGCTCAGACACTAGAGTACGAGACAGCTTTTTAAAAATTCTGAAATAGTGTGAAATCATCCGTCATGTGATCACTAACCCCGGAATCAACAATCTAAGAAATAGAATCAGGTGAAGAAGATAATGGAGCGAAAGAGGGGCTACCTTGACGCACAACACCTGCGTGTTTGGGCTCGGAAGAATACTGGAATTGAACAAAAATTTGTTTTCGCTCCTCCATTAGTTGTTGACTAAAGGACCAACTGCTGGCAGCATTGACCGTAGTAGAATTACCCTAAGGTACACACTGTGAAGGTTGTTTTCGCTCCTCCATTTGTTGTTGACTAAAAGACCAACTGCTGGCAGCATTGACCGTAGTAGAAGTACCCTAAGATGCACACTGTGAAGGTTGTTTGGAAGGCTTCTAGTCGACTAGGTGCCCATAAAGTTTCCAGCATTTATCATGAACATGCACAACCTTTTTGCAATGATCGCACCAAGGTTGACCCTTCCTAGAACAAGAATCACCAGAAGTGTGCAACAACAGAGTAGAGCCTTCAACAGCCGAAGTGGGAAGCATGAAATAACACCTGCTCTCTTCGTGACGAACCTCGGTAAAAACCTCTCGAAGCAACAAAAGGGGTTTAACCTACAAAATCCGACCACGAACCCCATCGAGATTAGTCGTCTAACCAGACAAACTGGAATACACACCGTTTCTCAAACAGTCGCTTGAAGAGCTTAGCATCCTCGCCACAACGTCAATTATGGGATTGAAAGAGATCCAATTGCTGCCACAATCGAGAAAAGTGAGTAAAATACTGCGTAACACTCATATCACCTTGCTTCAATTCATTAATATGACACTCAATCCCAAACAAAGCAGCAAAACTGTCAAGATTAGAATACGTCTCTCGTGTAGCATGCCAAATTTCAGAGGCAGTAGCATATAACATAAAATTTCACCGACTTCAGGCACCATAGAATTGAGCAACCAAGACATAATCATGGTGTTCTCATTTAGCCAAGTCTCGTAATGAGGATCAGAAGAATCGGGAATTAGAATATATTCCGAGAGATTTTGCTATTTTTGGCGACCCGTGTGTATAACCAGACCGATTGAGACAAGGGAATACAGCTAACACCATTTAAGCGATGACATGTGATAGAAGACGAAGAAGAGTCAACAGCATTCAGGGGAGAAACAAAGGTAGCAGCCTCCATAAGAACCTCAAAAGAGGTGGTAAGAACCATCGTGGTCGGGATCTAACCTAAACTGATACCATGTTGAAACTATAATTTACTGGATAAAATACTGGAAATTTTCTTGAATTCCCGTTACTGTAATCATATAGGTACAATAGAGTTTTATACAAGTGATGATCTAGAGTCCTAGCTAAGTCAAGAGTTCTAGCTAAGTTACAATTATCTTTATCTACAAAGTAGGCCGCTAGAGTTAGTGATAAGATAAAAAACTAGTATTTACATGGTAAAAAACTTATATAAACGTAATATAACTCACACCAAGACCTGCTCCGATAATCCTCTCTGTCATCTCTCTACGACTCTATAAAACCCCCCAACACTAGTTCCTTCTTCACAACAAAGGAGTAAGGAAAATGAGCATCTTCTAATTCAAAAATGAAATTTCAAAACCTTCAAACAATTTGAGTACAAAAATAAACCTAACAACTCTCAAGAATTTTAGACTACGATGAAACCATTGGTAAAATTTGTAGGGTATATTTTTAAAAGCGATTAATAAAATTCTAGAGCAATAAATAAAAAAAATATAGGAAGATAAAACTTGACAAGTAGATTAAAAATATCCAATATAATAGTTGATTGAAAAAATAAATAAATTTTGAATATACTAATTAAGAATGAATATGGTGTTCAAGGATGTAGAACCATGTATCATTGA